CAAGACCGAGGTTGCTCGGACCGACGGAGGACCGTCGCCTCATGGCCATGGACATGATGGGTGCCGAAGGGCACAAGCTCGAGCGCAAGCCTAAATGAGAGAAGGGCCCTTTGGTGTCCTTAGATATATGTCGTGCTAGAGCTCACCGAATGCCTTGTGAGCAAGGTCAAGTCACTGGACGCGAGCGAGACGCAAAAGACGAGGACGCCAAAGGCTCGGATATCAGCCAGTGGGTATGGAGGACGCCAAAAGCCCGGGTATCAACCAGTAGGTATGGAGGATGACCGGCGAGTCCTTACTGGAGTGTTGACGGTCGGCGTAGAGTGGTGTCAGAGGAAGCCGGCCTAGTCACGTATTGCAGCTCCTGTCACAGTCTCCACGCCAGGAGTATGTCTAAACGGAAATGTCTTGCCGGCTAAACGTGAGTCGCGAGAGCGCACCTCGTGATCCAGTGTACGAGGCGAAAAGGGGCGCACGCGCGCGCGCGCACAGAATGGTGTTGACGCGTTAGGTGCTCAAGTCGTTGAGGAGATGGACCCCTTGAGCTTGTTCTATGAGGAGTATGAATGGTATGAAATGAAGTCGTGAGTTGGAGATGATGGTCGATCACCAGCTAAGGGTCACCGGCACAGGGCGCAAGATCTAGCGGCGACTGTGTGAAGCGTGGACCATTAGCGCAAAAGCGAGGGCCGCAGAGTACATTCATGCCGGCCGGTGGACCATGTACACAAACGTGAACATAGCTGTTGTTGTTGCTTGGGCGTGCGCGCCTACACTGCATAGGCAGATGAGCATGCATGTATGTATGCAGCGCGAAGATGACTGCTCGCGCACTCAAATTGCCGGCTGCCTGTCTGCTCTAGCGGACCGCATGCAGGCGGATTTGAGCTGCAGATTAAGCAGGGACCGCCACAAGCCTTGACTGGTCAGGTGCTCGGGTTGCCACGCACGTACTCGACGCGGGTGCGCGGGTTGGTGCGCGCGTGTGTCAACTCAGAGTGGCGCTTCAGCAGCAGCAGCAGCAGCAGCAGCATGCACTGATGCGGTACGCGGAGCATGCACGCGCTACAGCTGTTTTTCGTGATTGGCGTTGCCCCATCTTATTCATTCTCCCGCCCACTTTCTCTCACACTTCGTGAAGGGGCACTCACAACCTTAGCCCACGCAGCTGCATGGTGTCTCCAACGCACGTAGTGTACAGCTGTCCGTCGATCCGTTGAGGTCATCCTATAGTGGGACTTGACCGCTGCGCCGATCGATGTGCACGCGCTGAGAAGGCGCAATTCAGAACGCTTGCAGCATATGCTATGCACCTGTGTACCGTACTGTGACTGCAGCTAGGCAGCAACTCACCGCACAACGAGGGTGGATGCGCTTGGTGAGGCAGGCTGCCTGCTTGGAGCATGAGCTACAGACGATCACGCGGATATGCTCGGTCTGCCAACAGCAGAATGAATCGCACTTTGACTCACTCGTGACTGGACAGCCCATAATATCTTTGATGGAGGTGCGAGTCTCATGCAGGCGCGCTGCGCCTAGCAGAAACAGCAGACGCGTTTTGAGCGGTCGAAGGGGGAGCCATCAGCAAGCAAGCAGTCAAGGTCATACGCGGCCAAGAGCCCAGCCCAGCTACCTTGCCTATAGAAATGCAGTCATTCTTGCTCATCGTTTGCTCGGATCTCGCGAGGCTCGGGTCAAGAACAGCGAGCGCATGACTACAGCCAGCAAAGTGAGCATGGACTTGACTCCTCGTAAAGCCGGCACAGCTTTTCACGGCGAAAGCGATGTCTCTGCGGGGTAATGCTAAAAAGGGCCGGAATCTTCCACACTACCCCACACTCGTACTGGACCAGCTCGCTCTCACGCATCACCAACATGAACGGCACGAACCGCTGCTCATCGTCAAGGGGACGTCGAGCCAGTCCGTGCCGTACAACGCACATGATGTTGCTTGATTCGTTCCTGCTGATCCTTGCTTGATTTCATGCCGCCGCTGCGTGACGCGGGGAAAAGACGTGCGAAAGCGTGTGAAAGGATTCACAATCGGGTACGGGTTCAGATGGAGAGCAGAGCTGATCCTCTCATGCTTGACTTTACACCCATCGGATCGGGCTCTACGCATGGACGGCAGCACAAGGGGGGGTGGTGAAGCTGCACGCAGACTCAGAATGAAGGGGACCGCGTCAGTCTCGTTGGAACGATGACTCGCCGGACGGCGGACGTTGCGTGACGCCTATAGCCGAGCCACGCGGGTCACTG